CACACATACACACACACATGAATACATATAAAAGTATTACATGTTTTTTTGAGGAGGACAAATCTGCATGATTTGTTTCATCTGAAGTCTGCAACCCTAGGTTGACACGGTGGGTGGTCTTCTTGATGAGAGGAAGGAGTAGGCTTAAATTCAGAGTTGTCTTCATTTTTCATAAATACAGTATTTTATTCCTAGAAGGCCACCTTCTGTAAGTACATCTATTTATTAAAAGGGTAGTTAATATAGAGGAAATGCTACAGAATGCAGAATGGAATAGAAAGTATAAATAAACATTTTAATAAATAGATTACAATCAGTCGCTAGTTTTCAAAACATCTCAATAATGGTAGCAAACAGCTGAAATGCTTGGGACACAAAAAGTGAAAATAATATCATAATCATCTACAGAATCCATATTTACATTTGGGAAGGCTATTTTTAACCAAATACAATGTGCCTATATGGCATGAAAAATAAGGAAAATTCCAAAATGCTGTTTTAAGAATAAGTCAACTAGTTCCAACAAACACATTTTATATGCTAAAAGGAACATTTGTATTAGTTTAAGAATCCCAGACTGTTCTAAGAAATTTCGACAGCTTATCTGATGTTGTCTGTTTGAGAAACCATGAATTGCCCTGTTGTCATGCACATATCCTCCATACTGCCAAACATCTTGTTATAAGTTCCAGTCGTATTTTTTGTTATTCACCAAACTGGCCCAAAGCCATTTCATGCTGCATTTTAAGAGTCCATTTACTCAGTTGTTACAAATTGCCTATGGGACAGCAACTGACTGTTACTTTCAGAGCAGTTAGCAGGTGAAACCTTATCAGAAGAAATCTGCCAAGTTTGAAACAGATACAGATAGCACACAGGCTAAAGAACTCAAACTGCATATTTTGCATTTATATTTAGATTATTGTTCCATTCAGGCATACTTTATTGCAAAGGTTTCTGGATTTCTTGTGTATAGAATAATATACCACCATTATTATACTGCCAGAATTCCATGTGCATATGATAGCTGCTGTCTAGAAAAACTGTAATAGTCCAATAATTTAAATAATTGAAAATGTCAGCTGTTGGGGAGTGGGGGTATCAAGGAAGTGTGAAATCTAGCTTCAAGTAAAGAGAAGCTTACTCATAAAAGGGTCTGCTGTCCCAATTTAGGCTCAGGGGATACAGTATGTACTCATTTTCTTTTGTCTCTATTCACACATCTCCCTCTACTTAGAACTATCAGTTGTCTACCATCTGGGGACTCTCTGAACATAGAGGGACTGATGACCTGCCCACTGACTGAGGACTGTCAGTTGCATCCTTATGGGTGTATTTCTATAACTAAAGAAGTGGTGGTCTTCTGCCTGCAAAATGAAGATTGCTAAGTACCTGCCTTTGGAATTACTGCTACCACTGAGGGTCTGGCATTTTTCTGCCTACTGAAAGGGAACTTCCTGCACTCTATAATTACTTCCTACCCACACACATTCCATTTCATTGGATTGCTCCCCTATGTTCTTGACTAAGCTGTGTGCATAAGGCTTAAGAATCAGGTCAGATTTCATTCTTTTTTTGGTCTTTACCTAGCTCTGTGGTTCCCAAACGCTGTGCCACAGTCCCTAGAGTGTCACAGTGAACTCAAAGGGGTGTCACTGTTTGTTACTACTTAATAAACAGAACTGGTAGTGAGTTTGCTGCAGTGTGCTGGGGTATCGCAGCACATAGTTTGGGAAGCACAAGAGACACCATGAAAAAATTAGTGAGATGCTAAGGGTGCCATGAACTGAGAAAGTGTGGGAACTTCTGACATAGCTGGATAAGATATTACAATACAGGTAGTTCCTAGTTTAAGAATGAGTTCCATTCCCAAGATCTGTACTTAAGTCGAATCTGTACGTAAGGCGGAACAATATTATTATATAATACTGTATAAGTAGTATTGTGTAATTAACTTGAACCATTGTGTATTTAATTCGATTCATTATGTATTTAACCTGAATTTTGCTACAGTAGGCTCTGTTCTTAACTATGGGTCATTTGTAAACCAGGCGTTCTTAACCCGGGGACTACCTATATTGAGCATTTGAAGTTTGATTTATTCATTGAGAATATATGAAAATTGAAATTGAGGGGAAAGGAGAGAGGGAGAGGAAACAGGGCAAGGGGAGAGTGGCTTAAGGTCGTCCCGATATAGGCTGATGTTACATTCTCACCATATTGCAAAGTCACTTTGATCTCTCAGAGGTAGAGGTCAGGTAGAGGAGGAATGCTTGGGGAAAGCAGGAATTGGTGGGCCAATTCAGGAGGCAAAGTAGAAAATAATCATTCTCATTCCAAGCTCATCTCTCCTTTCTAAAACTTAGGATGCAACACCACATCTCATCTCACCATTCCTCTCACTGATCCTTCACTTCTTCATAGCTTGCTTGCTTTAAATCATCATTTTTTTCTATCTGCACAAGCCTTTTTCTTAGCAACAGTTTGTGGTCAGCAACTTGTTTCTTTCTGTTCCTAGGTATTTTAGCTAGTAGTGGTTTGCTGGCATCTTGTACATACCTGCAGACACAAGGTGCTAAGGCTGACCAGGGATCCTATATACATTTGCCAAATTATGTCAACGCAAAGCAAGAATCAATACTTCTGATGAGGATGATAATTACAATACTTTGCGGTGATTCATGATGTGTATGGAGGCTGCAAGCAACAACCACAAACAAGCTAATTTATTGTATATCTCTTATCTACCCATTGATGGTATAGTAGTCAAGGAGCTGAACTAGGAACGGACAGATCCAGGTTCCAGTCCACCCTCATCCCCAGAAGTTAACTGGGGGCCTCAGGGCCAGTCACTCTCTCTCATCCCAACCTTTCTCACCGGGTTGAAAGAAAGCAAGTTAATAAACAAACAAACAAAGATTCTCTCTTGTATTCTGTTTACTGCACGGCCCATGCAGTTATATATCTCCTCTTAGCATTTTTGGATCATGTCCTTTAAATGCCCTTTGGTGCAGAGCCACATGGGTTTACAGATGCCATCCATATGTGGAAATAACTCCCAGTTTTGCCACGTTCCATGGGAGAGAGTGGACCAACCCATATTATCACTGTTTTCTAACAGGTTCCCTTACGATGCATGCACATAAGTGGCATCTGTTAATTCACAGTATGAGAATTGTTTAAAATTCTGTAGGATCTTTGGAGAATAAGGAAAGAAAAACAGCAGCAAAAGCAAGAAATCCCTTGTACTCAGGCTGAAGTACAGCAGCTGTAAACCGTTGCCTGCATTTATAGGAAAGCAAATTAATTTGTTTAGCAATTGTAAATTAAACAAAAAATGAATGGTTTGGGGAGGGAGAATTTTTTGCTGAAATGTGTTATACCTGCTGAGAACTGCTACCTTGTTTATTAGAAGCGTCCTCTTGACAATAGCATGGGGTTACTTATAATTAGATGCCCATGTGTAAATACAATGATTAGATAAGCCACATAAACATAATTATCGTATCTTCTAAAAAGCCAATGAAGATGGTTTCCACTGGGGGGTGATTATTAATGTGCAACAATCTTCATGCTTTTGTCAGTAAACATTTGAACATAATGTGTGCGTGTAAGCTGAAAGTGAAATAATTATTGTTATGCGGCAAATCTGTTTGGTGGATTGAGCCCTTGTATTCTTAAACAGCATTACAATAGTGGAGGTCAATTACTCTGATGACTCATTAAAAGGAATTAAAATACTCCTATAAAGCTGCAACAGATGGTTCTCTAATTCTTTTAATAGTCTTCTTAGGATGTTTAGGGTAATAGCCTTATATTAATATAACAAGGTTATAGTGAAACCTAAGTTGCTTACGAAGTATGTCCCTGTTGTTGCATAATTTCCAAAGATATGCTATATATTGGGGAATATTGTTGAATTAGTCATAATGCAGTTGATTACTTCATTTAATATACACTTTGCCCCTCTCCTAATCTTCAGGGTATATGAAGTCATAACTGTACAAGAAAACTATTAGGCAAATCAAGGACAAAAGAAATATGTAAATGTGGTTTGTTCTCAGATCCAACATGATGAGTTGCAATCAGTTGGAGAGTTTAAATGTTTTTAATGGGGACCTTTTCATATTTGAATGCCACAAATTTCCAAACAATATATAGAGTGCCTACACAGTAAACCTTTCCAGAGATCTCGTTTTAAGAAACTTGTGGGTCTGTTTACTCTCTGTAACCCTGCACTTGTCATTGTTTCTGGTGTCATACGTTAGGCAGCTTGTAATTCAGAGTTCCTGCCTGTCTCTCCAAAAGAAAGGCATTGGAATAGGAAGATGGAATGTTGCCCAGGTTTCAGAGTTCTCCACATGAGTCCTTTACTTGTGTTTCTATAGATGAAGGGTCAGATTAAGGCCAATTTATGACCTAAACACAAATCAACAGTGGTGCCCCTCAATGGAAGCAAAGTTATCAACCCATGAGATAGAAACAAGTATGATACCTGTTGACACTTTCAAACCAAACGTTTAAACTGGAGTCACTCACCATGCCACAGAAAACTTTTTTTAACAATGCATATTAAAGTTGAACACAGGAGATAAGGACAATTACCCCCCCCCCCAAAAAAACAAATCATCTAAAGTCAAGTGTGGCAGTGAAAGAGTTAAGGGCACAATAGCCAGAAGAAAAGCTCTGTGGTAGCCCCCTTTCCTCTGTGCCCTAATCACATGCTTATTTTGCTGAATGGTTCCTCCAGGGCTGTATAGATGTACATTTTTACCTTGTTAATCTAAAAACTGGAGTTGCCCTCTGAAAATCAGAGTGGCTTCAAAAATTAATAAAAATTAATAAAAATGCAATCCCTTTTCTTGAGTTTACAGTTTGAAAAGTCTGTGTGCATGTCTATAGAGAGACAGTCGGTGTTTGTTTCTTCTATAACCTAGTCTTCTGTTTTCTACAAGTATATTCTATAGTATTATTAATGATTACTATTGCTTTAATTTCAGAACTGATCTATGCCTGGATTTTCAATGAATATCCAACTTTTGTGCACCAGGATAATCGCCGCTTCGTTTCTCAAGAGACTGGGAACTTCTACATAGCTAAAGTAGAGAAATCTGATGTAGGGAATTATACCTGTGTGGTGACAAACACAGTAACCAATACCCGAGTGCGAGGGCCTCCTACACCTTTAATCCTGAGAAACGATGGTAAGACTTGTATTATCTCTTAATAAGATGTGTAAGAAATGGTACAAGGAAGTAATTCTAAAGGATAGTACTGAAAACTTTGTTCTATACAAATACAGTGAAAAGTAATTATTAAGATTTGGCCCTGAATAAGAGTTGAGTTCAGATTATAATTCGTTTTAAATATTTGAATAATCTTATGCTTGTTATGCTTTTTTATAATAAGGTGAACTTTATAGGACTTCTATGGGTATAAACTGGCAGGAAAATTAGCAATCTGGTCTCTGACATCTAGATCAGGAGTTGGCAAAAATATTCTGCAAAGGCCATATCCCACCCCTCCTCCGCTTTTGAGGGCGTGGCTGGCAGGTCTGCAGGCCAAGGAGCATGGCAGCCACTGGATGGTACCAACCCATCAGTAAGGAGGCCGCTGATATGATGCTGCTGCCACCAGCCAGGATGCTCTGCCCCTCCCTCTCACCCCGAGACCTTGGTGAAAGCTTGGACCTGGCAATCTGCCACCACCCACCCACCCATTCTAAGATTATGGGCCATACAAAACCAGGCAGCAGGCCATAGTTTGTTGACTCCTGATCTAGATGACTACTTGAGTAATTTGCAGTAAGAAAGAAAGATTGAGAGAGAGAGTGTGTGCTAGGATGCCTTGGGCGTAAAAACTAACTTGCACCCAATTTGAGATTCAAGAAGAAAGCAATGATGTTCAGTCAATGTGAAGTTTCAAGGAAATTTATTTGTTTTTGATATCAGTGAATGCGCACTTTCAAATCCCTTTTAACTAAGGAAACTTTTGTTTTTAAGGATTAGTTGGAATTCACTTACTGTTTAGTCATATATCTGCTTCCGCTGTGCTGAGACCTCAGGCCACTTTGGGCAGCATTCCTGAATCAATTGCCAGGAAGCTAGGCAGAGAAAGCAGCATGATGAGGGATCATTTCGAAGTGGCAGTAGATTGTAGTGATCTTTTGAAAGATATGATGCAACAGTACATTGGTATAGCAATAGCAATCAGAGAGGTAACACCAATATGTCTTGTTAATGGAAAAAGCAGAAAATAGCCATCAGGGCGAAGGTATGTGCAAGACAAGAGAGGGTTCAAACAGTCTCAGTCCCCACTCCCTCCATCCTGTTTCTCCCCAACAACCAAAGACTTAGGCAGCCGGACATGGAGAATATAGAGGGAAGCAAGTATCGATCCCTCAAATGACCGTTGTCTATACCAGCTTTGGTTCAGCAACTCAGTTGTGATGCTTTAACACTCTGAGATGCCCACACTACCAATTTCCCATTCCCCATACGCGTTCATGTGCATGGTGAATAATCTGAATTGAAGTGACTGTGTATCCTAAATGAATCTCTTTCCTTGCATCACTGAGAATTGAAGTATTTGTTTCAGAGAAGGCTACATTGGGACTCCTACCTGAGTCCTTGAAACACTTGAAATAATGCTTTAATATAATGATTGCTTTTAGTGTGGGCTGTAAAGTATATCACTGTGAGCATTTCTCTAAGGAGCTCTGACTTTGCATCTACTGTATTGCATTTACAGTTACCTTATGCAAATGTTCATGAAAATGTTCTTGAGATGTACTTGAAGTGTATTCTAGTATATTGCAGATTGCTGGAAACTTGAGTTCAGTAGCAATGATCTTAATGATCAGTAGTAGGAACATTAAGTGAAAAATGGTAAGATTTGGGACTTGAAGTGTTAAAATAGTTGAAGATATATTAACTTTGTATGTTAAAATTAGGCATCATAAAATAGCCCTGCTATTTATAGTCTTCATTTTCCTGCTCTACATGTCTGATAATCAGCTGTTTAAATGCAATTCATTCATCAATATTCATATGTTGAGGCAGTAACTAGCAAGGTCCACTCATTCAGGATGCAAAAAATAAATGAAAAGGCAATGAATGCAACCAAAAAGGATACATGTTATAACAGTCTGACAGCTGCATTTGGATCCCCCCCCCTTTTTTTAATTGACTTTGGCATGGCCAGTACATCTCAATATATAAGAGAAATTATTTTCATTAGAGCATATTGCTGTTAAATTAGTAGATTAAGTGGCAAATTCATCAATATTTAATGTCTTGATTACATAAATAGGAGTTATACAAAGAAATTGTACAGTGTTCTTCTCCCATTTAACATAAAATATATTGATCTGGGTAATCTAAATCTTTGGTGCTAGACCTATTACAGTACTTAAAACCCCTTTCCTATCTTAATTATGAGAGAATAAGGAAGAGGAATAACAACAAGATAGAAAATATTTATTGGCAAAAAAATGCTATCATTTGGAAAATATTCAATTTTAAATCTCTGTCCTCCATGAACAATTCAAATAATACTTTTTTACAATACTCAAAATTCATCATTATATGAATAATAGAGTTATTTATTTGTTTGTTTGTTTGTTTATATCTATTTCAAATTTGTCACTGTCCAGCTCACTTTGTAAGCTGAAGTGTAATGGACAGAGTGCCTGTTCCTTTAAAATGCCTAGTTTCTCTTTCCACATGGATGTTCCTTTTTTAGCTATGGAAGAACCTGTCAGTACCAATTTGGGACATTGTTTAACCTTTTCTCCCAATGTTGTAGTCTGGATGAGAATTGTCCCCTCTCCTAAAATGGAAGCTGTGCTGATGAAAGTTTTCCTTCAGTGCAAAATAGCAGCTTAAATAGGGAACGGAAGAGAATGTCACTGGACTGTAACACAGGATCATCTCCCTTTCTTCAATTTGGGACTATTCCCTGGATAAGAATTTCAGTTCCATAGTTACTACCAGATATGACAAAATAAACTGGCACCAGGAGTTAATAATGGATTAAAGCAACCCTTAATTTAACATGGCCCATTGGCTAATTTGGAGTGGGGATGTTAAGTATACTCAGAACACAGCCACTGCCTTTCCAGTGAGAAGAAGGGTGTGAGATTTATGAGGAGAGGAGAGGAGAAAATAGTCAGTTTCTATTTTCATAGTACATCTTAGCTGGAGGCCCCTGCAGGAAGAAGTTGCCCAAGAAAGATGGGGAGTGTCTTATTCTTGATACTCTGAGTGCCAGTTTGCTGAATTTTGGATAGCTTTATATGTGACCAGTTCTTTGCCTCTCTATTTGTTTGTTCAGATCATTACTGAGTGCTGGTTGTGGGATGCAGTTCTCAGCCTTATGTAACATGTAGTTAAACTATTCTCTCAATGCCTTCCTTTCTTGCTTTTTTTTAAAAAAACAAAACTTCTTACTTGATTAGTGTTGGCTGTGTAGTCTAGCACTACTAAATATGCCCAAACTGTTTGGATCTAATAACCCTGGTTAAAGGGAGAAAACTGGAGTCCTTTTTTGTTTTAAAAAAAAAAAAGATTATTTATGGGGAAAGTAGATGTTCTGTTCTGTCCCATTCAGATTACGTGAGGCATCTCCATATTCCCTATTCAAAACAGATAGTGGCAGTATAACACCCCCCCCCCCCCCCGAGAACATGGTGTTCATGTGCCTGTTGTCACCATAGGGCCCTCAGGATTTGCAAGTTGGTTTCAGAAGTGTTTAAGGTGAATGGGATGAAATCGGAGAGAGGAAGTGAGGAAGAAAATAATGTTTGAAACAGATTAAGCAAAGTGGAGTGAAAAGGGATAAGTGACCAGAAACAAGAGTGAAAATGGATGTGGAAGAAGAGAAAAGAGAAGGTAGACTATCTGAATCTATTTCAGTCAGAATTTAGGCTCAGATATAGGACAGAACAAGCATTGGTTACTCTAGTGGATGGCCTTCAGTGGGACCTGGATGGGTGAAGTACTCCTAACCTGATCCTTTTAGCCCTTTTGGCAGATTCAGTTGCTTTGGTCATGGACAGCCTGCAAGGCTGAGATTGGAGATACCATTCTGCAGTCATTCCATTCTTGTCAGACTTAATTCCAATAGCTAGGTAAGAAACTTCAAGAATAGACTTCCAAGGCCACAAAATATCTGATAAGTACTGTAATTTCACTGTAGAAAAGCTAATAAAACCATTATGAAAAAATTCCAGTTTCTGCTATATATCCAATGCAAGCCCTATTTATAATTAAATCAATAATTAAATTCTTACATCTTTTTCTCCCCTCCATAAGATGCAGTATGCTAGAAACTCTTCTTTTTTGGACAGAAAGGACAATTTCTATCTATCACTTATTTTGGTAATAGATTGGTCTGGGATCAAGTTGTCAGCTTGTGACTATGAGAACTAGCTCCTAAGTGGGCAGTTTCAGTTGATAGTTCTGAATTTTCTGGGAAAGTCTATCTGTCAATTTGGAATAACATGTATCATCAGTACACTCATGATACTCAATTATTCACTGCTATCCAGGCTGAGCCAAATATGCTGTGTAAGTCTTAAGCTGGTGCCAGGTGGCTGTATGGGACTAGATGGGGAGAAACAAGCTTAGACTAAACCTTTGAAGATAATGCTGCTGTTCATATGTAAGCATATTGACTTCCTAGAAACATTGGTACCATTTCTGGTTGTAGATGTACTCCTCCTGAAGGAGCAGGTCCATGATTTGGTGGTTTCCTTGGACTTATAGTTCCTGCTTGAAGAACAGGTGAGGCTTTGGCCAGTAATAATTTGCCCAACTTCAACTGGTACACCAGTTTCTGCCCATTTGGATCAGGAAGCTTTGGCAAGCATGATCAAGCCCTTATGACTATGCATCTTGCTATTGCAACACTCTATGGCAAAGAGGTGTACCCACTATCTAATTCCTCCTTGCCAATCTTCTAGTGAAAACATGATCAATACAGAGGAGTGTGAAAGGGGATTCTGGCAGATTGGTGTTGGTAATTCTGACAATTACATCCTGCCTCTTCCCATTGATATAACTTAATTGGGTTCTGTAACTATTTGGGATACTTAGACATCTTCATGGAAAAATGACTTGATAGCTAGAAAGTTATTAAAAATTGTAATATCATATTGCTCTTGAGTGTTTGTCCCTCTTTTTCATCTTTGTCCTTCAATGACTCTGCAAGACTATAAATAGTATTTCATACCTGCATTTCATTTTTAATTCTGCTTCCTACCCAGCTTCTTAGGGCTTCTACAAAGTAAAACTTTAGCTGTTCCTTTGTGCTTTTTTGAAAACAATATTTCTTTTTCATGTGGATATAGACCACACTGTTTCTTTGTATTGTATGGCAGATTCAAAAAATGTTTCTTAACCCATTGGTCAAGCTTTTACAATATCAGGTAGCATTCTTTCCATGGGGAATTGATGATGATGATGTCCATTCATTGCTGTCCAATTCTTGGCAAACTAAAATTAAAACTAAAATGTATCAAAAATGGACATGGTCAAGCAATGGTAAAAGTAGACTTATTGTTTAAACCATTCCTGGATCAATATAAGACCAGTTTGTGGCTCCTCTGCTGAGATGGTGTTTATCTAATTGTCCAAGTACAAGATAAAAGGCAATCTGTGTGGTATAGAATTTGTCAGAAAACAGTCTTTGCTCTTGTCTTTCCATAGTAAGAATTGTCTTCAAATTTAGGCTTGTCTTCCACAATCTATTCTAAGTATACTTTCAGCCAGTCCTCAATTAGCCTGTAAGTGCTGGGAGTAATCAGAGTGCAGAGAAAGAGTAACAGTGGCAACGGGGGAGCCATAGCTTTTAAAATAGCTTACAACTGGTAATCCATTCCCCTCAATTGAAGTAGTTTTATTACTTTTCACTGCACAGAACAACTTGTTGGCAAAGTCTCTCCTTTGATTTCCTGGGCAGTCTGAACTAGCAGAGCTGTTCAGTTTCCCATCTGTGCTAAAGAAAGAAGAACCAAAACTTTAATTGTAGTTTTGTGACTACAATGTTTGCTCCAGATCAGGTTTCTCTGGTGGTGTGAATGTAGACAGATTCAGCTACATCTTTTGTGTATTATGGAGCATCTATGGCATTAAGCTATGTGCAGCTATTTTACAACTCAAGTGACAGCCTGTTGGTATGCCTGAAGTAAAGCCAGTCAAAGATAAGAAGATATTGTGACTGCACAATGACAAGTAAATAAGGTGAATAAGAAAAGCAAGGTGTTAAGGCTGTACAAGAGATAAGCATGTAGATGGGGTACAATTGAATGGAAGGTCAATACAACAGAACATCATGCCAGGCTCTTCTGAGAAACTGGAATAAGCAGTCTACTTGGACAGTCACACCAAGCCAGCATGAGGTTTCTGGAAAAGTGCTGACAAACTCATGGGTAAGCAAAAGCAGTCAATGAGGAACAATGGAATCTGTGTGGCTATAGCACAATATCTTTGTCAGTGAGATCCTGCTCTTTGAAGTGTATAAGATAGGGTATGATTATACAGACATGGAAACTTGGAACAGTCTCAGAATGTTATGCAGAAACATAGCAACACTCAGGAAAGCAGTAAAGTTGTCATAAGTTGCTATCCACAGCTTAAACAATAAATAATGATAGGACATGAGATGTTCCTACACATGAAAGTGGATAAAAAATATAAAGAACTAACATTTGAGGTCTGGTCACCATGAAGACAACTTCATTTCAAAACAGCAGAACAGCAGAACTCCTATTTTGTTCTTCTCCAAAAACCATCTGGTCAGTGTGAAAGTGTGTTCCGTACAATTCAATTCATTATGGCCGTAGACCAGTACAGTGTGAATGTGTGAGAGAGAGAGAATGAACAGGGAATATCTGTAATGTCTTAAGCATCAAATCACCTCTTATCAATAACCATGAACAGGGAGCTTACGTCAAGCAACCTTTCAAATAGTTATAATCCAATAATCTATGTAGTTATATCCAATATTTTTTTTTATGTTAAGCAGTTTTATGTGTATACTCTACTCACAAAATTGTGTTGTAACATATTTGATGTTGTTGTAATATTTGGCTTGCCTAATATTTACTGATCCCCAGAGCAGACTCGATCCCTCAGCTTTATTTTGGGAATAAACCAGTTAAATAATATTATGAGCCTTCCCCAGCTGCAAAATACTAACACAGTGGTCTCTGAATATGTTAGTGGAAGTTATAGTTTATGTCAATCTTGATGTAATCCTGTGTTATCACTCATTTGATGTATGCCGACTAGAGTAACAGTTGTCCGTGTTGGTGTTTAAGAAATAAACATTTAATTAATTAATTAATTAATTACTAGGCAATAAGTTTATCATAACAAAAAACCAGCACTAAATATATCTATAGACTTGCACGTTGTATGATCACTGCTTGATATTCATTTTATACTTTGCCACTCTTTAGTTTCTGTAACTCTGTCTTGCATTCCAATTTTCAACAAACTTCTGATAGAAGATACTCTGCTCAGTGTGATTTTTTTTCTTTCATTCCAATTAAGCCTTGTTTTTAGCTGTTTTACTGATCCCCTCTCCACAGCTGAAGGAGCGTTGCCTTCTGCAGACTTCTACAGTTAACATTGCATTCAGAAGGCAGCTGCTGCTATTAGCTTCCACAGATAAAATATCAACAGATCACTTTAGACTATAAGCCAGCCAACAGGGGAGCATCATCCATAACAGTCATAATGGCTCAGAACCAAAGATACAGGGACTCAAGCTGTCTGTGAACTGTATTTTTGAAGATGGTAGTTTTGAATCTAAATCACATCTCTAATGCCTTATAATTGCAGGTTTTCTTATTATATTTAATCCTGCATTTGCTACTGCAGATGGACAAAAATGAAAGCTAAGGATCCCCAAAACAGATTAAAATGTAATGCTCATGAGGTTAACTAAGTTTATTCTCCAGGAAATCACATTAACCCATACTGGAATCAGTTCAGTTTATATGTTGACTGAGCATAAACATGACTTCTTATGCAAACCGATATTTAAACTTTATTTACGTATTTATTTGAAAATATTAATATAATGAGTGATTTACTAAGGCAGTAAAACTGTAGAAGATAATTTGTCTTAGTATTACTTGGACCTCTGAGTGGCCTACAGTGCATTATAAAAAGATTTTGCAACCATTGTTTGTTCTGCATTAGTTCTTCAAAAGGCACTGATTATACTTTATCAGCACTTTGCTTTTCACAGAAAGACTGTAAAAAAATTAAAAAATTAAAAAGCAAGAAGGCATGATGAAATGTAATCTTAGGCAGATGGCTAAGAGCTACAAACCCATTTTTCCCCTAGCCAATAAATGGGAGACGAAGCCCTCACCGAGTGGCTGTTAGAAACATGGTCCTGTTTGAAGTGAACAGAATAATTGGTCATGTAATGATACATAAAACATCCTGGTTAACTCTGGAATACTTGACAATATGTAATGCAGAAATCAAGCCAGTTTAGCATCTATTATATATTCACAGGAGTGATGGGTGAATACGAGCCAAAAATCGAAGTGCAATTCCCAGAAACGGTTCCATCTGCCAAAGGAACAACTGTGAGGCTGGAGTGTTTTGCACTGGGAAAGTAAGTTTTTGCCGAGCACACATTCAGTGGTACTGACATGATTTTCAGACAGTTATACAGTCTACCAAATTGTGGCTTTTCTGTTTGACACAATCTCTGTTCGCTCGAGGACCCTTTCAACAAATTGCTCATTTTCCAGTGCTATGCAAATTGTTTCTTCAAACAAGATCACCTTCCTGGAATCAAACTACAGATCTACCTACTCTATTGCATCTAGTCCATCAACCATTTACTCTAATAACAAAGTTATTGAGGTAGTGTAGGAGATGCATATGATCCTTTTCCAGATAGGCCACACAAACCAACTAAAAATATTAAATGAATTGGATGCAGAAAATAAATCTTGAGGACCTGATGAATTATTTGCTAAAAATAACTTTGCAGTATTCCATAGCAATGAAAACATTCAGTATACTGTGAACCATTCTGATAAACTGATTCAGAATGTACCCTTTCATGGTTATGCTTGGTGGATTTGGGACCTGTAATAAAGTAGTCAAATTCAGTGTACCCTTTCATGTATTACCTGCTGTGA